CCCCAAAACCCCAAAACCCCAAAACCCCAAAACCCCAAAACCCCGAGTAAAGAGATTTTATTTGAAACCTTTAATCTAGTAGGCTTAGCTCATGTTATATCAATTCAGCAACTGTCTTGGATCGAAAAATTTTGCCTGAAAATTGGTTGGTCTTGAATGCCCACCGTGCTTACTGCTTCTCGGCCTGCTATGAGACCTTTTGCCTCCACTATGTTTCCTTCTTTTTGGAGACCCTGGCTTCTGATGAGGAGTTTTACCTCTCCCAGTAGAAGATAATTTATAAGCATGCTGGTGGTTGTTATTTGCATTTTTCATAAGAAGTTCTCTTCCAAGCTTGCTATCATTCAAAAATCCATTTGTGCTTCCAGGTGTGGGAGTGTGTACTGTTAGTCCTGAGTACATTTGGTTTGCTCTATCTCTTGCTCTATTGGCATTTCCAATCATGCTTTCAATTAGGGAGGACTTTTTACTCATTCCTTTAGGTCTTGATTTAACTCCATAGCTAGGCTAAAGATTATGAAAAATGCTTACTCTTAAGTCCTTTGTCAACATATTTGTAAAGCTATTAGTACTGGTAAAATCGTAATCCATGGATGCTTTCTTTCTCTTTGATTTCGGAGAAGCACATCTTTCGTTAGAATTAACTGCAGATCCTTTTCTACTGATCCTAGTACTTCCTGCTTTACGGTTAAACATACTTTGGTACTTCATTCCTTTCTTAGGAGTGCTGTTTGCACGAGATCTTCTACTCCGGCTTCTCTTACAACTTCTGTTAAGGGTATCATTATTATTAGAATAATTCTTTCTGTGCTTACTTTTAGAAGACCTCAAACTTTGCTTCATAAAATTCAGCATTATGTGATTCGGATCGTTTCTTCCTCTCGAAGGACTCTTTCGCTTCTTACTATGATGAGATTTGCGATTAGCTCTATGCCCTCTACTTCTACTACGCTTAGAGGATCTTCTGGAGTCCTTCATGTAGTTTCTACCTTCAGGATTTTTAGAGGAGAGAGTCTCTGATAACAACTTTTGCATCTCATTGTTAATGTTATTTAACCCCATTGCTTTGTACTGATTCATCATTGTAAATTTTTGGAATTGTTCTGCGAGATTATTATTACTAGGAGCCCAGGTGTTTGTCATCAAGGTCTTCTTCGGAGGCCTCTGGTCAGTGGTCCTTGATTCACTATGATTGTTAGCTTTCATCATTTTTGTTCTTTCATCTTGAGTAAATGCTGGTCTAACTCTGTGAGGATCTTTCTGTTGCTTTGGAGATGATTGGTTTCTTGAACCTTTGCTTGGTATCTGACTCTTTGGTCGATCTACTGGCCCCCCTATTTTCAAAATTTTTTCTGCTTCAGAAAAGTTTACAGTATTATTACTAATGAATTGGCTCAAAACTGGTCTCACATCATCGACTCTTGAAATTTTTTCTAATATAGCTCATAGTTGGTATAATTCTTTATCACTTTGATCATCATACCACGACACTGTCGGGATAGCACAATCAGTATGAAAAAGGTAAGATGTTGGGCTGTTATCGATAATCATACTGTCTTTCAGAGGTCTACCTATCCTTGATAAATCTTTGACGAATATCCCGTTATAATAAGTACAATGCTCTCTGAACAATCTATAAGCTCAGTAATTCTTCGGATCAAGCCAATCGAGTAACGGATCTGCATATTTCGAGAGAGATGCTGTGTATATGATAAGTTCATAATGTTTATGTAATCTATTTTAAAAACTCATCAACTCCTGGTCTCTTTAATACATAAACTTCTCAGACACTTCCATCAATTTCAACAGGAAGGACTAGATCGGCTCCTTCTACATACTGAAAGCTTGAATGGACTAGAGTTTCATCGAGATCTAATCAGAGTGTTTTCTTTCCTTTGTCAGATTCTCTTTGTGGGCCAACAACAATTTCATCTTCAACAAAGAAGTCTTCACTCATTTCATCCTTTTGTTGATAGTTAGGTTGGGAGGAACCCTTCTCTACCTGGGTTATTAAGCTGGTTATTTTATTTTTAGCTGATTTTCCTTCGTTTACCACCATTGCTTCTTCATCTGGTTGTAAATCTTCGGTATTCTCCTGTAAAAGTTCATCAGGCTCATTTTCTTCATAATATTCTCCTTCTTCATCATATGACTACAGAAATGAGTTCTGATCAAAGGTCATGGTAATATAGGCTTAAATGTACGTACCTGGGAATATTGATTCTCAAGTTTATTGAGCTTTCTTGTATCCATTCTATATTTTCAATCATTAGAAAATTCAGGTCCTATTCGAATTTAGTAATTTTTATCTCTTATATTCTACATCCTTGATCCCAATAGGGTGTTTTTACAGGAAAGTTATCTATAGTCATAGGCTCTAGAGCCATATTGCTATAAATCTGAGAAGTATCCAGAATAACTAATAATTCTAAAGCCTTGTTGCCATTTGAGCATCATGTATACTTATTCTCTAGGCAATCTTAAAGGGATCAACCTCACAGATTTTGTAACTAATGCAAGGAATTAGAACATAATCTAGCCATCACAGAGAAAACTAGATGAGAAGATAATGTTGGATTGTGGCATAATAGAGATTGTTGAGAGATTAATAGATCAGCATACCTTCCTCTTTATTTTATATGAAAATATATTCAATTTGAATTTTATTGTTAGGGGTTTTGGGGTTTTGGGGTTTTGGGGTTTTGGGG